CTGAAGACATCGGGAAGCACTCCAAGAAAGGCAGATGGTTTGGGAGTGTTGATGAAACAAACATCTGTATAGCAGATGAAGCCTCCAGAGAGGCCAGCTTCGCCATCCCCTCTGTGCAAAGTTAAGGAGTATGAGTTTTGTCCTGAAAATTTTAAGGAGCCGTAGAAGGATTTATTTAAACTGGTGTATAACATGATTAGATTTGCCTTTAAAAATAACACTGTCAGCAGTTTAGAGACGGCAGCATTCTACGGGGCAGCATAATTGGGGCTCAGATACAGGTAGGCAGTTACTATGGATTTTCAAATGGGAATAGATGTGTATAGTCACATCTATAGACAGTAGGGAGGGGAAAAGAGGATAAGTGTAAAACACGATCTTTCCAGGCAGAGGGATCAAACATGTGCCAAGGTCCTGCGGTGGAATGAATCAGGGCAAATATTGAAAGAAGACCAGTGATGCTCTGTGTGTTAGAACAAAGTCAACCAGAGCACAAGATAATCAGGGCAGACCCGGGGCTTTAAAGCCCTGATAGTGAATAGCAGCCCTATGGGGCAGTTCTACTCTGTCCTGTAGTGTCGCTATGAGTTAGAAATGACTAGACAGCAGCGGGTACTATCCTAAGGACCCCTGGTGGCACAATGGTTAAGCACTCAGCTGCTAACGGAAATGTTGGCAGTTTGAACCCACCCTGCAGCTCTTCGGGAGAAAGACCTGGCAATCTGCTCCCGTAAAAATTATAACCTAGAAGACCCTATAGGGCATTTATACTGTGTCACATGAGGCTGCTATAAGTTGAAATTGACTTGATGGCACTCAACAACAACAACCGTCCTGAAGAATACACAATATATATTCTGCAGTCTACTCCAATTACCCATAAAAGACTTCTGCTTATAAAAATCGTGACCAGGTATTTTTCCCCTGTGTTGTATCTTCTGGGCATGGTGGAAGCAATCCTTTATATCTCCTGAATGCACTGTGTCTCAGAGTCCCAGTCCACCAGAAACAGTCACATAGAAATAACCTGGGTTCATAACAAGCTCAGAAGCTGATAGTGGTTTTGTTAAATAAGCTACCATTCTTCTCTAGCCAAAGTGTTGATTAAATTATTCTCTGCCTTCTTTTCTTTTTTTTTTTTTTTGTGATCTCAACAAAATTATCTAATTTGAAGTCATTAAGTAATTGGCACATATTCTGTTATGTGTTTGGACATTGTTATTTTGTATGTGGAAACAGCAATTCCTAACATAGCTTGACATGTATTCAATAATTCTGTTGATTAGAAGCTTATTTCAGATATCTATATAATCTGTAAGTGTATGCATTATGAGTGTAAACCACAAAGATTAACACCTGTAGAAAGGAAAACAGCATATTAATTGGTGTTACTTCTGTTTCTAATCCAGTTGTGAAAACTCCTCATAAGATACACTGTTAAAGAGCTGTTGTTGTTGTCAGTCAACATCAAGTTGGCTCCGACTCATGGCAACCTTACGTATAACAGAAGGAAACTCTGCCCAGGCCTGCGCCATCTCCATGATCTTTGATATGTTTGAGCCCGTTGTTGAGGCTATTGTGTCAGTCCAGCTCACTGAGGGTTTAACTTTCCCCCTGTGTAAAAATTGACAGAGGTCTGGTCTAGCTTATTGTTGTTGTTAGTTGCTGTCGAGTGGATTCCACCTCATGGCGACCCCATGTATGTAGAGTAGAACTGTGCTCCATAGAGTTTTCAAGGCTATGACCTTTCAGAAGCAGATCACCAGGCTTGTTTTCTGAGGTGCCTCTTGGTGGGTTTCAGCCACCAACCTTTTGGCTAGTAGTCGAGCACTTAACCATTTGTGCCACCCAGGGACTTATCTGGTCTAGCTAGGGAATATAAAAATAAAATCTAAATATACTTGTGAAGCTTAAATCATGATATCATAATTCAGGTATGGTTTTGGAAAATATAGTAGCTTCATAAAAAGAAAAAGTTGAATTTAACAAAAAAATTGAGAAGCTGCGGTATGTGCAGGCAGCTGTAGAATATAAAAACAGTTTTTGTGGAAGAAAATGAAAAAGAGAACACAAAAGGGAAAGACATCTATCCTTTTTTCTAATTCTTATTCTTGGTAAGGTGTGTGACCTTGAGCAAATTATGGAGCCTCTCTGAGTCTACCTACAGAATTACTGTGGGGTTCATTAGACTCTGAGGTGCTTATTGGCAGAGAATAGCTCTTACTCAACTCTGGACTCCCAGCACCTAGCTCTGGGTATATGTGAAAGTGCTTTGCAAAGTACTCTACAAATATAAATATTAAGCTATGTATTTATTGTCTAATCGTCTTGTATTAGTTCTTAAATAGGCAGTCGTGACTTTAAAAAGTAGCAACAAAAAGTCTTAGCTCCCTCACGGTTTTGTTTGTTGTTTTGTTTTGGTTTATTGTTTTAAGCCAAAAATTAAATACAAGACCCCTGGCTAGCATAGCGCTAAGCATATACAGAGCTCAGTGTAATAATAGTGACTTACCTTTAAAAACAAAGAGTTGTATTATATCTTGTGAGTTTTGGAGAGACTGAATGAAATATACTTTTTCCCACAGAAATAATAAGTGGCAGTTGTGTTTCTAGTCCATTCCGCAAATTTCTGTTTAACTCATATACCTTAAATTTATGGTGGTAAAGTGATATTATAATTATAGGTCCCAAAGACATTTCTAATCACTGTACGTATGGGAAGAAGCCCTGGTGGTGCAGTGGTTAAAGAGCTCCGCTGCTAACCAAAAGGTCAGCGGTTCGAACCCAAAAGCCATTCCACGGAAGAAGGATGTGGAAGTCTGCTTTTGTAAAGATAACAGCCTTGGAAACCCTATGGGGCAGTTCTGCCGTGTCCTTTAGCCTCACTATGAGTCAGAATGGACTCGATGGCAATGGATTTGGGTGGGTACGTATGGGGAAATTCACTACACATTCTAAGTAGGTCCCCAGGGCTTATTTGTCTAATTATTCCTTCCTTTCTGCCACTCACCAGCAGTGGCATAGAGGGAGTGGAGGAGTAGGGATCAGTTTCTATAGGTTCCAGAAATTTGCTTACTCTTTATGGCTGTAATAAATGAAAACGGTTATCGAGATTGGGAAATCCAAATTGGGAGACGGAAACTTAATCTTCTGGTCATGTCATGGTTGAAGTCTCCAAATTCGGGTTTGCTGCTGCCCATTCTAAAGGATGGGTTGCAGTAGTCATGAGCATCCTTAGCATCTAGACACCGGCCTTCAAAAGCATTTCTCATTTAAAGGAACCAGGGCTCTTAGGAGAAATGACTGATTCCAGGTTTGGTGCAGAAAAAGTCTAAGTTGAAGTGAGACATTGTGCCAAAAGCAATAAGCTGATTTATGGAAGACTTCTTGAGGTCATGTCTAAAGGATCCAGGAGCCAATTTGAAGGTGCCATCACTGGCCAAAGATGGAACCATTTTTTAAAACCTTTTATTTTGAAAACTTTCAAACATATGCAAAAGTCAAGAGAAACTTAAAAGAATTCCGAGATACCCTTCATTCAACTTCAACAGTTATCGACTCAGAACCAATCTTATTTTAGTGCCATCCCCACTCATACTTCTTCCCCACCACTGGACTATTTTTAAGTAAATACCCAATAGCATATCATTTAATCTGTAAATATTTTACAGTATGTCTTTAAAAGATAGTTACTTTTATAGTGCTTTTTTTGTGGTGCTGAAGTTTTCTTTGTTCTTCTTACTCTCTTGTGCTGAGTTACTTTTGTTTGTGGATTTTTTTTTTTCATTTCTTT